ATAAATGTTCTCACTCCTTTCTTTTGTGTTTCTTGTTTTGTTGATCTTAATTATATCCATGTATCTTTTAAAATCTTAAAGAGATGGATCTACTGATTATATCTGGGTCTTTCCCTGCGGTTAGTTCGACTATATTTCCTAGTACCAATTGGACTGTAGATGCTATTGAAAATTCAATAACATTCTAAGGCATCTGGTTATCTTCCTTCATATTTTCATCAAATTAACAAGTTCCGATATATATTGATGGTCCTATGGTGGTCACATACTACCTACCCCTTATTAATCATGTCAATCCTATAGTAAATCTATATCAACTTGGGATGAGAATTTGTTAGCATAAAAAAAATTCTATTAAAATAAGACTTTTTCTTCATCTAGATGTCATATTAAGATGTACCAAAAATTACTTTTTGTATAAATATATCTAACTGTTTTTTTTTATTATTTTTACATAGTATTATTTCAAAATTTAAATTATAAATGATAAGAATTTTATAATGAAACTTGTATAACAATTTCAAATTCTGTAATGGAGATATAAATATTGTTTGATGAATAATATGGTTTATATTAAGTTGATTTTATAAAAAAAATCATTAATTTACAAAAGTGAATATTATAATTAAGATAATTAATTTGATTGATTTATAAAATAAATATTAAATAATTAAATTGAGAATTGTGAAAAAGGCGTTTCAACCACCATTCTTAAAAGGGCATGTCATCGATGGTATAAGTATTTAAAGCATTAGACATGGATGTGTAAGAGAAGCATAGAATACTGAAATATGGAGAAGAAGAATAGGATTCTTGTATTTGGGGGAACTGGTTACATAGGCAAGAACATTGTGAAGGCAAGTGTCTCTTTGGGTCATCCAACTTTGGTGTACACTCGTCCTCTTAATTCACAAACTTGTCCATCTAAGACACAACTTTGCAATGACTTCAACTCCATGGGAGTCACTCTTGTCCAGGTTATACTTACTTGCTATCTCTCCCTCTCTTGAATAGATGATTAATTAAGTTTAACACTTCATTTTACTAATGAGTCTCATAATTATTGCAAGCACAGGGAGAACTTCAGCATGACCAGATTTTGAAAGTCATTAAACAGGTAGACATTGTTATATGTGCATTGGCATACCCTCAAGTGATGGAGCAACTCAAAATTATAGATGCTATCAAAGTTGCTGGAAACATAAAGGTAAATTAATTTCTATTATTAAAAATAATTAAAAATATCATATTACTAGTAAGAAATCCCCACCTCCACCTGCCCCCAAACTATTTATTTATTAATTTATATGGATTAAAAATAAATAAAAAGTTTGACTTATCTTTAATCTAAACTCTAAATTTTTTTTTTCACTTATAAATATTAAATTTTTATAAAAATATATAAAAATTAATACATTGAATTGAATTTTCAACATCAAAATTTAATAATTCAATCCATATTTATTAGATTTGCATATTTTCAATGCAATATAAAGTGATGTCAAAATCAATATAACTTTTCCGATTTAGTTTGATCAACTTTTTAGATTTGCATATTTTCGATGCAATACCAATTGATGTCTAAATCAATATAAATTCTCCGATTTAGATTGATCAACTTTTTAGATTGATTTACATTTGTGGTCATCTATTATTTTTAAAATTACAGCAACAACCACGATAATAATAAAAATAATTATCAGAATAACAAGTTTAGATTGATTTACATTTAGTTAAACAAGCCTATAATTCACATTAGAATAACACAGAAATGTCAATAGAATAGCACTAAAAATAATTATTAAATAATTTACACATATGAATTGTATTTTTAACCATGCATGCATGCCGCTGTAAATTAGTATTATTTAAATATATTATAAAATGTTATATTATTAAGTAGTCATCAATCAAATTCATTTTATATCATTCTTTTTGTTAATTATTTATTTACCCATTAATTTATTAATTATGAACCATTATTTTTACATCAATTGAACATGACGTCGTCTTTTTAATCTTAAAATATTAAGACACATTTTTGTAGTCCTAAATTTTCTTTTAAAATAAAATATCTCATTTCATAACTATTACTTAGGTCTTCATAATAACAACTATAATTTTATAACAGAGCTTAAATTTATTTTATTCTTCACTATCTTTTCCTTTTTATTATTTCTCTCTCTATATATATAATATTTTTATAACATTATATAATTTATCAAATCAATATGTTTTTTATTCTCTCTCTTTCACTTAAATTTTGAAACACAAATTTTTTTTTCATGTCTAGAAATCATAATTCTTAAAAATCAATAATTTTTACTACATTAAATAAATAAGCAAATAAAGGTAACATAATATTTTTATTATATTAAAATTTTATTTTCATCTCGAAAAAATTAGTTCCTCTCCTCTTCCATGAAATCTTTTCGTGAAAAACCTATAAAAAATTATTATTGAAAAACAAAATTTTTTAATATTTATATATATATATATATATATATATATATATTCTTAATAATTAATTTTATTATTTGATAAATGTTCTCACTCCTTTCTTTTGTGTTTCTTGTTTTGTTGATCTTAATTATATCCATGTATCTTTTAAAATCTTAAAGAGATGGATCTACTGATTATATCTGGGTCTTTCCCTGCGGTTAGTTCGACTATATTTCCTAGTACCAATTGGACTGTAGATGCTATTGAAAATTCAATAACATTCTAAGGCATCTGGTTATCTTCCTTCATATTTTCATCAAATTAACAAGTTCCGATATATATTGATGGTCCTATGGTGGTCACATACTACCTACCCCTTATTAATCATGTCAATCCTATAGTAAATCTATATCAACTTGGGATGAGAATTTGTTAGCATAAAAAAAATTCTATTAAAATAAGACTTTTTCTTCATCTAGATGTCATATTAAGATGTACCAAAAATTACTTTTTGTATAAATATATCTAACTGTTTTTTTTTATTATTTTTACATAGTATTATTTCAAAATTTAAATTATAAATGATAAGAATTTTATAATGAAACTTGTATAACAATTTCAAATTCTGTAATGGAGATATAAATATTGTTTGATGAAAATATAAGGACAAGAATTGTATAACCCTAGCCCAAAATAGAATAGCACATTAGAATTGTATAAACAAGTTTAGATTGATTTACATTTAGTTAAACAAGCCTATAATTCACATTAGAATAACACAGAAATGTCAATAGAATAGCACTAAAAATAATTATTAAATAATTAATTTACACATATGTATTGTATTCTTGGTAATTTAATTTCCTTGTTTAACCATGCATGCATGTCGTTGTAAATTAGTATTATTTAAATATATTATAAAGTGTTATATTATTAAGTAGTCATCAATCAAATTCATTTTATATCATTCTTTTGGTTAATTATTTATTTACCCATTAATTTATTAATTATGAACCATTATTTTTACATTAATTGAACATGACGTCGTTTTTTAATCTTAAAATATTAAGACACATTTGTAGTCCAAAATTTTCTTTTAAAATAAAATATCTCATTTCATAACTATTACTTTAAACTAGCTCTTCATAATAACAATTATAATTTTATAACAGAACTTAAAATTATTTTATTCTTCACTATCTTTTCCTTTTTATTATTTATTTCTCT